GAATGGAGATACGCCAGCTGACGGATGCGCAGATGCGTTTTTTCTTGTGGGCGGGACCACTCGCGGCCATTTTGGATTGCTCCAGTAGAGCACATTTTTCGCCCCATTAGTTAGAACGGCGGAGATAGGCGTGACTCTGTCCATTAATATATACAGTCTATGGGTGAAACCTTTGGGAGCTAACTATTTTATTTGCAGTCATTAAATACATTTCGAATTATAAGGGTTGTCTAATATTTGTTCGAATATATATATATTTTTTATTTTAGAATTATATTCGAATTTTGAAGTCGAAGCCCTGGTGTTAAGCAGCGCTGTAGGGGCTAGAGCAGTGTTTTTCAACCTTTTTTGAGCCAAGGCACACTTTTTCACTGAAAAAAATCTTGCGGCACACCTCCAGGAGAAAATGTAAAAATGTATACAGTACTAATGTAAAAATATATACTGTACATACTCGGTGTGATACATAAAGTATATCTTATCTTATAATGTATACAGTATACTCTGTAGCCTATATTCACAATATACAGTTATTCTCATCAAAATGCTTAAGTCCAGGCCTTGACATTAAGCTTTATTTAATATTTCTCGATCAGTGATGGGAATAACGGCGTTACTAGTAACGGCGTTACTAACGCCGTTACTTTTTTCAGTAACGAGTAATCTAACTAATTACTTTGACTGTAACTATAACGCCGTTAGCATTTCCGACATCCCGTTACTGCGCGTTACTCAAGACGCACAATGAACTTCTCTTTTTACTTCATGATAGGACTCGTGCGCGTGTTGTCATGAGAGAAGGGAGGATGAGAAAACCTCTCAGATGTTATTGGCTGATGTAAAACATATTTCCTTTACAATCTACATGTCTACAGTTGAGAGGATTGCTCATAAATTGTGTTTTTGAAACAAATATGGGTCTTAATCACACTCTACCACGGCTTGTATCACCGTGAGGCCAGCCTCAGAGGAGCGCATGTGAGCGCAGAAGTCGGCTGCATACAATTCCATGGATAAGCTCCTTTCTCCTCCTGGTTTATCTGCTAAGGACAGCAACAGGTTTGGCTAACATACATATACATATTTAAGATCGTTTAAAATGCACTTAGGGTAATTTTTCAATGACTATAGGAATGATAAGAAAGAAAGGTGAAGTGTAAGAAGGTTGATTTTAGAAATCGGATGCACCCGGCTGCAGCGAAACAGAGGAGTTTATGGAGGAACACACGCGTTTTGTTTTGCTTTTTAAAACTCATTGGACTCATTTCCAAATGGAGGATTACATATCTACGCTCAAACTATTATCTGGACTTAAACATGGAACTGGTCTGAAGCGAAGTGGTCTGTGCAGGTCATTTATAAGGTAAGACCCATAACTCTTCGTTTTGCGTTTTGTATGAACAAACAATGCGGGCATGAAACGTATTCTGCTGTAGCCAAACAAATAAGCCGCTCTCTAGGTCCAGTTGATTTCTATGATATATATGTCCATCTGATTGGGCTGAAGTCAGTGCTTCACCGGTGTTTCCACATTCACAGTGGCGGGTGTTGGTGTTTAGTGCTTACAGCACAGAGAGAGATGAAGAGTGAACAGGACTTCAGCAGCAAAACATCCTTTTCTAGATGGAAATATTGGCACTATTTCAGACTCACTGAGGTTAAAGGTAAAACTGTGCACGTCGAATGCACATTATGTTCCAGAACAAAACGAAAAAGTAACGCAATAGTTACTTTTACTGCTAACTAGTTACTTTTATAGTGGAGTAACTCCGTTAGTAACTCAGTTACTTTTTGGGAGAAGTAACTATAACTAATTACTTTTTCAAAGTAACGTGCCCAACACTGTTCTCGATACAATTAACAAGAGTTTGGGAATAAAGTGGCACTAACTGTGTGGAAAAAAACTAAGAAAATCCACTCTCTGCCCAAATAGTCAAATAATAACTCACACAAAGAACATGCATTGTTAGTGCATGGGAAACATTTTGGTATCCGAGCTTTAAATTCAGGAGTTTTGGATGAGGGACACGGGAGGTCCTGAACGCGAGTCCATGGTTCTGTCCGGTCCGCATCTCTGTGGTTCTGTCCACTCGACTACGGTCTGCGCTCGGTACCCAGTTCAGAAGTGCGTTCGCGAGAGCTGTTGTACAAAAATGGTACATTTCATAGTTAAACCACTACAACGCCGCCACAGCTGCCCCGGGGCAGAGCGGAGGATGTTAATCCTGTTCAGAAACGGCATAATTCATTTTCAAAAACGTCTCTATCACTTTCACTTCTCACTCGCCACAAAGCTCTTGTCTCGCTCCCTCACACATTTGTTGGTCGCATCCAATTTTACCTTTCTCGCCACAATGCTGACCTGTTACAGCCAGTGGTCGCATCCAATTTTTCAGTTTCAAAGTACTTAGCTATCTGCTGCCATCTACTGATTTGAAAAAGTATTACATGGTTACTCCACAGTTCAAAACAAGTCACCGCTCGTCAACAGCGAATGCAGTTATTTTTAGACAAAGTAGACGAATTTCTCACGGCACACCAGACAATATCATACGGCACACTAGTGTGCCGCGGCACAGTGGTTGAAAAACACTGGGCTAGAGGACGCAGGCTGTTCGCTGCTCGTTCTGTGAGTGGAGGAGAACGAGCGTCCCGCTAAGACTCCACTCAGCACTTTTCACGGCATAAATTTCATACACAGCTGAATCAATGACCTCAAGTTTTCAATTAAATTATTTATTATGATACAACTTGTATGTAGTAAAAAGCATTTTTATGAACTACTTGGATAACAAATCGGGTATAGCTTCTTTAAAGTAGCAATATGTAATATTTACATGTCAAGTCATCATTAAATGGCTCCAATATTTCAAAAAGGTGTTATTAAATCATGCTCTTTTGGAATACATCTTTATCTGATTACAGTAGTTCAGCCGAGATATTTGAAAATCAAAATTAGTTTTACGACCCGCAAAAGTTGTTATTGTTTTCATTTCGATCCCACCCTCCGCCGTTTCACCAGTCAGGAAGTCCCATGGAAGTCCGTGATCCGGGTTGCCTGAACTCCCTGCGGCTAATCTCAGAGGTAAAATTACATGTGGCCGCAGAACTAAAAAAGGTCTTGTTATGACTCAAATCATTAATGACAAAACAAAGACTAAAACGAGGGTTTTATATCGGGACGCCTTTGAAAAAAATGAGACAGCGGATTAAACTTTTTGTGTGATGTAAAGCTTTGAGTTTGTTTTTCATTGACATTTAAAGTACCTGCCTCAATTGTACTAACTATTGCAGCCATTACAGAAGTCAGTAACACCGCGGCCCCCTTAAATATCTGACGGGTCTGCGCGGCCCGCCGAAAAACTAACCAAGAAGACAGCGTTAAAAATAGGCTCTTCTCTTTATTTTATTTGGGGGAAATAGCCTCTGCTACAAAAAATAATAACAATTTGATTATTCAAGTCAAATAATGAACACATACAGTATTTTAATATTACAAACAAAATATTATTGATATAACATACAATAATTATATCTTAAAATATCCCCAGACCCCACTTTTGGAGGCACTGAACTATTGTATGCAATCGTGGTCTAATGGTTTAGCCAAAGCACTTACACCATAGGGATCCAGGTTTGAGTCCGTGCAGAATCTGTTTGTATTAGAATTATAAAATATCACATTCTATGACAGATTGCTCAAAAACGGTAAAAGACAAAAATCAAGATGTTTTTTTGCAGATTATAGCTCAATTGTAGAAATAATCATTTGAGACCACATGTACCCCAATTAAAATAATGTTAGTCAATGTTAGTTGATAAAATAGGGGGAAAATTCTTCAAATGAAAGAGTTTGACATTTATTTTTACATCATTGAGGCCTTTTCTCCTCTGCTCCAACACAGTGTCTACAGTGGTCAGTTCTCTGAAGACACTGCATGGGACCACAGCAGTGGCTCATAACGTCCTGCACATGAGAACATCCCTGCTCTGCTTCTTTCTGTGCATGCGGTGGCTGCTTCACTAAAAGTGTAGCATTCCTCTTTTCTCCGAGGAGGAGGTGAGGGACAGGAGGGTGCTAGTCAAAGTCACCTCCTTCATGGACAACACCTCCCACTGCACAGGACTGTAGAGCAGCTGAGGAGCTCCTTCAGTGGAAGAAGGAGCGCTACTGCAGGGCCTTTATCCCCACCGCTGTCAGACTGTACAACAAGTCACTTTAAGTCACTTGCATTAGGACTAAAAAACCTGCACTACTTATTGACAGTTTCTTGATTGCCACTTTGAATTGTACATATATCATTTATCATGGATTCTATCCATGCCAGATGTAAATTTCTCCTGTGTGAGATTAACAAAGTCTATCTCATCTTATCTAATCTTCTTGACTTCAATAGTCCATGAGGTGGGAGATACAGTATTATTTACATCATAATGCATTCTTCTGATTTCTTGCCATTTTTGTATTATTATATTATTATTATGTTCCATGCCCAGTGTTGATATGTAGTTTGATCTATAATGGGCATGCATTGAATAATTACTTTAATGACAATCACTATAAGTCTTATTGTAACATTTTTCATTAATCTTGCCTTAGTTATTTGGTTCCTCTATATGTTACAGTAGTTTGGTATAGAACCAAACAACTCTCATTCACATGCGACATATTTTTCTATTGCTCTGCCTCTTGCAGCAAGCCTAGATGCTGCAGAAAACTGTGGGCGCTAGTAACATTGAAATAATTTGTTAATGTGTTACTTTACCAGCATGCAAGGCCATTCATGTAATTGCCAAGACCTCCTATCTGACATTGCTTCCAGGCCCAAAACAGCTGCACTGCAGCATGCAGTAGCAATGTGGCATGTGGAGAGAACTATAAAAAAACGTACTTTATTGACTCTGGTGTGTGCATGTGAAGACATTTCAGATTGTATCAGTAAAAACATGCCCTATACCTAAAGCATGATGCTGCATAATTAACAAACAAGTGCTGCAGAATGCTCTTAGTCTCCTCTGAAAATGACTCTAGGAAGTGAGCGGAAACAACAGATGGAGAGAGGTGCCAAGAGTTCACAAGAAAGAAGATATATTTACTGAATATGTTGTGCAGTCCAGTTCTCAGTTTTGTTTGTGGTTTATGAAATAAACTTTATTTCATAGTTTTCCATCATTGATGTGACACAAAGAGGTGTATATATATATTTTACATAGAGAGATTTTGTTGTTCTATTGCTTATATAATCAAAAATAATTCTCAGTTTCAAATCACATTTCTGTAAAAACAAGTGCATGACCTCTTATTATGGAAAAAAAATGTTTTTTTTTTCTTGGCTGACAATTATTTTACAAACATGAATTAAACATCTGTGAGAGACGCTTCCTTTTCTCTGACCCCTGTTAGCTTGGTCAATAATTAGCTAACAGTGAGTTTGAAACTGTTGCTTAATGCCACAGCCAGATTTGTCCCAAAAATATCCATGAGAATTCAAACTACAACCCAGATCAGGCACACAGCTACAGATAACAAAGCTCAATATCTAATCTGTGACCAAAACACTCAGTTTGAAGGATTCTTTATTCAGTCAAACGAGGGCAAAAACTGGACCAGTGAGTCCCTATAGACAACTGCTTAGGCCTGTAACTGTGTGCTGCCATAAAGTGAAACAGGTGTTTTAATTATTCTGGCTAAGAATCTTCTGCACAGGGCTATTAAATGCTGGCACAGTAAACATGAGTGGGAATTGCATTGGGAACAAGCGCTGGACTAATTCTGTTTACGCATGCAGGGTTTGATAAATCCTGCACTCATGACTTGTGCTCATTGCCCAATGGCAGCGTGTATGATAATGCCAGAAAGAAAAAAACAACAACTGTACTTGTAATGCATAGCTATGGATGTGGTTGTCTGCCTTATAATAAAGTCTCACAATGTCTTGCAGTGGTACATTTTCCATTCTTAATTCCCAGAGTAAATTTATTCCGACAGTCATGCATTCTTTGTAGTGCTATATCAATCTGCTTAACTTCATCACACCATGTGGAAGAAACAGCAGAGCCTAGTGCTCAGTGTTGCTGCAGTGAACATGTGCTGTGTTGTGACCTAGAAAGAGACAGAGACACTTATCAGGCTAAATTAGCCCATATACTCCACTGCAGGCAGGGTCATGCTAACCAGCAGCAGAGGCAGCCACACCACTGAAGGAGAAGATTAACACCACCCACTAGAAGAGGGCTGTTTAGATGTCCTTGTATATTTTTATAACCATTTGAAGATATTGGTCATATTTTTATCTAAAGAGCATGCTGTAATTAATCTAGACATTAAAGTGCTTCACGTTTATTTGAGTAATCTCTAGCACACTGCATTCGACTACATTTTTTATTTTATTTTATAATAGGTATAAAAGACATACCTATAACAAAAATCAATTAAACTTAATTTGTATATTCTGGAAACTCATAAATAGAAAATGTCTTCCTGATGCAAAAGATGCCCAGATGTGACAATGAAAAAAGAAATTGTATCAAGCTAGAAGTTGTCTCAAAAAAACAGATTATGCTGAACCATCGTCTCCTAATCTATCAAATTCTTCAATGTCTTCCTATTTTTTAAATGATTCTTTGAGAACATCGAAGTAAATGATATGGCTGGGTTTCTTTAAGAGTTTGTCGATATGATCTCCATACATAGCCGTATATACACACCATGATGCAGACCACTTTCAAATCAATACAATACGATTGTTGGTGGAAAAATCTTCTCAGAGATTTCTCAGTGTGGCTCTATGATAAAATATAAATTCATCAAAATATATAAACAGATATAAATATTGTATCTATAAAACATGTTGTCTGTTCAGCACTCTCCAAGCGCATGAAAAGTTTGTATGATTTAATCAGTGCACCCTTCAATAATCAAATGAACATTCGACCGCAACTGTGCTCCAGGTTGAGCTGTATGAAAGGGTTATTTCTCGTCACGTACGTTCCCTGTGGAGCAGCAGAAGTCTCATTGATGAGCCGTGACTTGTCCTCTGAGCGCATCCACTCTTCACTGATACTTAACTAAGACTCGATGTAATCTCAAACACCTGCCCACTGTGGGCCTAACAAACATGTGCACTTCCACTAAAATAAGTCAATTACTCAATTACTATTGATCTCATATTTGAATACATTGTTTAGGTCCAAAATTATTTATATGTAATGTGGAGGACTTATCTTGTTTCTGTTTTTGCAGGTGGTGGGCCAAATAGACAAACTAACATCGGACTTTGATTTTGACCTGGAGCCAGATGACTGGACAGTTGCCACAGCCAGTAGCACCTCCAGCAGCGAGCGTGGTCTTGGCGAGGCCTTCAGGCTGGACTTCCTCAATGCCGATGTGTTGTCGGATAGCTGGGAGTTCTGTAGCTACCTGGAGGCAGCTGGAGTGGCCTCTCGCCGAACTGCCAGCCTCGGAGAACAGATGGGAGATGCACAATCCGAGCTGGGCCATGGGACTATCCCCACACAGACCACTACCCCACCCCCTTCCACTGCCTCGGTCTACTCCCAGATGAACGGAGGGATGCCCATCCTAAACGGCCCCCGGATCGTCACTCCAGACTCGTCCAGTGAAGAGGCCAGCAGCTCCACACACAGCCACAAGACATCTCGTACATCAGGCACAAGAGAGAGAGTCCGCTTCAGTGACAAGATCCTGTATCATGCACTCTGCTGTGACGATGACGATGAGGAAGAGCAGGAAGACTTACAGGAGGACAAGAGTGACTGTGCTACACCAGACAGCGACAGTGAGCCCAGTGTCCTCAACACACCTGTCACCCCCAAACGTTCTTCCTCAGAGCACTCGCTCCTCTATAACTCTCTAGAACCTTCTTATGTCTCCTCAGTCAAGGGGATTACAGGTCGACACACACTACCAAGGAAAGGTCTCCAAAGTCCAGGGTGCCGCAAAAAACTATTACGAAACAGCAGCACACAGACTGTCTCTGACAAGAGCACCCAAACTGTACTGCCCTATATTCCAGTCAAACAGAAAGCAAAGGACCACTGAGAGAACTTATAAATCATACATTTCAGTATGAGGACTGTGCATTATTATTTAATATTAAATACATAGCTCATAGATTAATACACAAATGAATTAATTACTAAATAAATAAATGATATATGGTAAATCACGTGCTGATCAAAGTCATTACGATTCTCAGGGATTACATGTGTGCAGATCACTTGATATATTCTGTTTTACAGGTTTTTGTTACTTTGAGCAGGAGCAAGTAACTTGTTATGTGCTGGGCACATTATAGCGTTACCTCAAGTTGTTCTCGCAACTATTCTATTTTGTTCATGAACGGCATTGTTTTTTTGTCTTCTTCTCAGAGACACCCATAACCATTTAGAAAAACATACAATGTGACAACAATGAAAACACACATCTCTGCACATGGAGAATTGATAATCAATCAGGAGGTGATTGAGTCTTCCACATTATCAGCAAACCTCCATTCTCAGTGAAATCAGCAGACACAGTTGAAAGGTTGCGCCAAAATGGTGATATTGCAAATTTATTGCGATATTTTGTCTCACAATCAATAATCAATATGCTAATTCAATATACTAATCGATATGTTATTGAACTCTTAAGACCCGTGAGTCTTGCTGGTGGGTCCGATCTAAATAAATGGGAGTCAAAACCCAATAAAGTCTTGTAAATTAGTCTGAGCTGCCATGGCATGTTATAAAGTCGCTTTTAAGATTATTGTCTAGAAAACAACCACAGCACTTATTTTACTCTGAAGATTAAAGCTGGACTAACTCACTTTGTGACTTTGAAGCATCTGTTTAAAATGTCAACGCTGCCCTCGCTCTCTCTGCTCCCCTCCCCGCACTCACAAAGCTTTCGCCCCCTACTCCTCCCCAGCCCCCCACTCTCAGCCTGTGCTCCTGTGCAGTTGTTTACGGAGCTAGCATCTCACAATATGGATCTCACATTTGAACGTGGATGGGGTGACCATAGAATGATAGAACCGGGAAGCGCGGAGGACGAGACTTTTTTTTGGCTTTTTTGCTGAGTAAGCAGTAATCGGTAACAAAGACACGGGAAGTTCCAGGTTCGCCTCCGCCGTGATGCTCGTTCACCTCAGCTGTCTGTGCTAACGAGAGACCTGTAGATTTGGGGGCCAGTGGTCCCCTGTGATTGGTCACAATCTGGTCCCGACACAAATTCTCTTCCATATTGCACAAGAATTCAATCTAAAACAAAATGACACTCCAGCACAAACTTGCGCTACTTATTCTTCAAAAGGATGTGTATATCAATGCATTGCATAGATATGGATTGAATTTTTGTAATGAATACAAAAATGAAGTGAGGTAGTCCAGCTTTATATATAAATATATATATACAGTGCCTTGCGAAAGTATTCAGCCCCCTTGAACCTTTCAACATTTCGCCACATTTCAGGCTTCAAACATAAAGATATAAAAAAAAATTTTTTTGTCAAGAATCAACAACAAGTGGGACACAATTGTGAAGTGGAACGGAATTTATTGGATAATTTAAACTTTTTTAACAAATAAACTGAAAAGTGGGGCGTGCAATATTATTCGGCCCCCTTGTGCTAATACTTTGTAGCGCCACCTTTTGCTGCAATTACAGCTGCAAGTTGCTGGGGGTATGTCTCTATCCGTTTTGCACATCGAGAGACTGGAATTCTTGCCCATTCTTCCTTACAAAACAGCTCGAGCTCAGTGAGGTTGGATGGAGAGCGTTTGTGAACAGCAGTCTTCAGCTCTTTCCACAGATTCTCGATTGGATTCAGGTCTGGACTTTGACTAGGCCTTTCTAACATCTGGATACGTCTATTTGTGAACCATTCCATTGTAGATTTGGCTTTATGTTTTGGATCATTGTCGTGTTGGAAGATAAATCTCCGTCCCAGTCTCAGGTCTTTTGCAGACTCCAACAGGTTTTCTTCCAGAATGGTCCTGTATTTGGCTCCATCCATCTTCCCATCAATTTTAGCCATCTTCCCTGTCCCTGCTGAAGAAAAGCAGGCCCAAACCATGATGCTGCCACCACCATGTTTTGGTGTGTCTCCCAGGTGGCTTGTGGCAAACTTTAAACGAGACGTTTTTAATGGATATCTTTGAGAAATAGCTTCTTGCCACTCTTCCATAAAGGCCAGATTTGTGCAGTGCACGACTGACAGTTGTCCTATGGACAGACTCTCCCACCTCAGCTGTAGTTATCTGCAGTTCATCCAGAGCGATCATGGGCCCCTTGTCAGCATCTCTGATCAGTCTTCTCCTTGTTTGAGATGAAAGTTTGGAGGGATGGCCGGGTCTTGGTAGATTTGCAGTGGTCTGATACTCCTTCCATTTCAATATAATTGCTTGCACAGTGCTCCTTGAGATGTTTAAAGCTTGGGAAATCTTTTTGTATCCAAATTCGGCTTTAAACATCTCCACAACAGTATCTCCGACCTGCCTGGTGGGTTCCTTTGTCTTCATGGTTCTCTCTGTGCTTTAAACAGAACCCTGAGACTATCAAAGAGCAGGTGCATTTATACGGAGACTTGATTACACACAGGTGCATTCTATTTATCATCATCAGTCATTTAGGACAACATTGGATCATTCAAAGATCCTCACAGAACTTCTGGAGTGAGTTTGCTGCACTGAAAGTAAAGGGGCCGAATAATATTGCACGCCCCACTTTTCAGTTTATTTGTTAAAAAAGTTTAAATTATCCAAAAATGTCGTTCCACTTCACGATTGTGTCCCACTTGTTGTTGATTCATGACAACAAATTAACATTTTATATCTTTATGTTTGAAGCCTGAAATGTGGCGAAATGTTTAAAGGTTCAAGGGAGCCGAATACTTTCGCAAGGCACTGTATATACTGTATATATATAATATATATATATATATATAATCTCTAGAGAGTCTTTATATAGTCTATACTGTGTATATATCATATGAGCGAGACTAGATACATGGAGAACATATATAATATCTTTAGAAAAACACCGGAAATTCTATTCATACAAGACTTGACTTCCTGTTTGGCTCGTAATGCTCCGAATGCTTGATCCAGGACTTGATCCGGGGATTCAATTTGGGACTCCAACCAGGACTCAATCTGGGTCAAAATGATAAAATGCTGAAATGTTGAGTTTGTACTTGAACCTGTTATTTTTGTATACAGACAACTTGAATAGAATTTTCCAATGGTAAAAAACATTACTTACAATTGGTAAAAATGTATCTATTTATTGTGACTTTTATCAAAATTTGCATTGCTTAAAATGTGGAACAGAGCGATCCCCCCAACCATCTCAAAACAAAAAGAAAAAAGAGAAAAAGCTTGATCCCATAATTTAAATACAAAACGGAGCACACTCTTCTCTGATTCATCATAAATGTTGCGTTTCATGTGCGTGTTATTTCAAATGTCAGGGGGATTATTTCTTTCTGAGGAGAATGTGTTATGTTGCACGCGTCAGGGGCGTTCTTCTCTTTGATGTCGACAAACTTTGAGCATAGAGATGGGAACAAACACATGTGTATTATAAATACACAAATGTTCACCAGTCTTGATCTGGTTCAAAAGTCTTTACAGGGAGCTCTGCAGTCAGTGACATTTTGGTTTTTGCCCGCTGTTCTCTGTACCTGGCTGGTGTTGTTAGAAAAATGGGAGGATATAAATAGCAGCCTACAAAGTGCTTAGGGTTTTGTCCTTCTATTCAATTTCTCAGTAGGGGAATTGAAGTCAGCTGAGAAGCGTTTTATTCACAGGGCTAACGCCAATGGCCATTCCTGATCAATATGTTGCAGTGAGGGGTCTCTCTGCTGAGCATGCATACTACTCTCCTGGGATCAGCGAACAAAAACTCACAGTCAGACCTATTTATTTAGACTGTGCAGAGCAAAAATTAGAAATGTGGTTCAAAAGAAATGACATTTAGAAAATAATGTTGGTCTCAGAGAGAGCTGATGGTGGCGCCACAAAATGTCCGTGTTGAAAGATTTTTTTCTCCATCCAATAATCCACCCTGGGGATGGGCTTTGTGACACTGCAAACTCAGTTTCACTTTTCTGAATGCCTCTCTCTGTTTTCTAGCCTGAAAAGGAAAGGTTTTGAGCACTAAGTGATCTTAGCGTCCAAGACATACTGAGAATAACCTCAGTGTGCCAACTTACAGGTATATAATGTGAACCAAATGGTGAGTCAGAGGTCACAGTGTGACTACTTGATTAATTTAATGTCAAAAAAATTATCATCCATTTACATTCTGTAGTAAAACTATAAGCCTCCATAACTCTAGTATTTGATTTGCTCTTCACAACCCTCAGGACTGGGAGTGGAATCAATTGTATAGAATAAATAAAAGTTTCTGACCATTTCCAGAAACAACATTCCTAGAAATGTATCATATAGGTATATATATAATTGTAAACACAACACATTTACACTAAGCATGCTCCAAATAGAGCGAAATATTGCATTTGGGAATATAGAAATAGTTCTACTTTAGTAGTAAGTAACACTATTTTTAAGTATCACTCACAAGTTTGATGAACGGTGCCAGATCCTCCATTATGTCGTATTTGTAATCACACATTGTAATAATCAAAATCTTAATGGAATGTTGATTAATTGCACAGCCCTAGTCTGCGTACACTTCTGGTACCATAATCCTCTGCAGTGAAGTGCTCACTCGAGGCCCCATCCTGGGTCACGCTGCCGACCGCTCCTTTTCCCATTCTGAAGCAATCATTATGCCGCCGCAGCTTCTTCCTCACTTGCATACTATCTCTGCACATGCTGTAGAGTTGTGTAGTTTGTCGCTCTTATACACAGCTCTTGTAGGGTACAATTTTTGTGGAAAATTAGCCTGGAGGTTTATGTCAAATGGAAGAAAAGCACTGTGCATGCAGGCGACAGAGGCGGAGGTTCTCCATGAATAGAGTCAAAAGAAGTATTTCCTCCACTGTTCAACATGACTTTTAACACTCCAATAAATATATACATGGAAATAAAAGA